ATTAATTAAGTGTTTGCTAAGTGCCACTATGTGTTCAGACATGGGGGAGGGATGTGACAAAAAGTTCTAGACTTCAAAAGGTCTTTGAAACTTGTAGACCGAGCTCTAGTCTGGAGTTTACGTGCTCCTCTGGAGAGAACAGTCACAGGTGAGACAGGTAAGTGACAATTCGAGGCACTGTACCATTGGGCAAACCTTGAGTAGGCTGGCCAAGAAGCTCAGGCAGGGAGGAAGCACTGGAGTAGCTTTGGCAGGACTTGAGCTGGACTTTGAAGAGTGGACAAGACTTGGAAAGGTGAAGAGGAAAGAAGAAAGGCATTTTAAGCAAATTTTTAGCATAGGAACATTTGTGAAGGTTGGTGGGCATAGCTTGTTCTGAGGATGGGGGAACCGGCCAGACTGGGGGCAGACTGGGGAGGGTGTGAGGGCCTTTGAAGGCCTCAACATTTAGGCAGTGAAAGACGGCTATGGCTCTGGTTTTTTATTGGGGTGGGGCGGGCATGCTATAGAGACAGGGAGTGGAGGATGGAGTGGTGCCGCAGAAGCAGGGCTACACCTGGTTAAGCCTGGTTGCAACAAGAAAGGAGCCTGGCAGCTAACACGAAAGGCTGAGGCAGGGACCCTGCAGGGAGCCTTTGCAGTGTGACATGGCGAGGGCTTAACTGGGGCGGTGGAGGTGGTGGTGGTGAAAGAAACTTGGGACTCCATGACCGACTGAGGGCAAATGATGGACCAAGCCAGGCTGGCTCTAAGATTTTGAGTCTTGGAAGAGTAGGGCCAACTGTTCTCTGACGAGGCATTGCCCTCATCAAATTGAGATCCTGGCCATAACACGTCAACTAACTGCAATATGGGGACCTTATTTGAATCCTGAATTTTACAAATAAACCATTCAAAAGTTATGAGATAATTGGAAAACTTTGAATTATGTCTGGATTTGATAATATTAAGGAATTGTTAACTTTTTAAGTGTAGTAATAGTATTGTAGTTTTAAGAGTCCTTATGTTTTAGAGATACATACTGAAATATGTACAGCTGAAATATATTTGGATTTGTTTCAAAATTATCCAGGGATAGGGGAGAGTGGGTGCGGCATAAATGAAGCTGGATAGACTGTAAATTGTTAGTTGTCAAAGCTGGGGGACGTGGGGGTTCATTTTACTTTTCTCTCTACTGTTGTATACATTTGAAATTTTTCATGAAAAAATTCTGGTCCTCTGGTAATGCAAGTCTTGCACTCTGGGCCTCATAATTCCCAATCCGAAATCACGAGAGGCATTTTGAGCTGTGCCATGTTAATCTCTTGTTACATTTCAAAACAGAAATTCAGTCCACTTCTGTTTTGCCTAAAGCAGAAAAAGTCATGAACTGGAAACAAATAATGCCTTGATCTTGTTTGAAAAAACAAACTGGGAGATACATATGATCTCCTTTCTCATGATCATGGGGGGAATCCAACCAACTGAAGAGGCAAAGTCAAAACTCAGAAAAGTCACATTTTTACGGTAGCTGGAAATAAATGGTTCTTTGGGAAGAGTCAGTCTCAAGAGAGGTTTTTCTGGCAGCAGAGCACTTGGCATGAGTGTGAAAGCTGAGACTGAGCTGAAAAATTACAGCCTGGGCTGTAGCTGCCAGCGAAAAGGCCAGAGTTACTGCAGCGGCAAGTCACACATTGCCCAGGCAGAGGCTGGGGGCAGAAACGAGTCTGCTGCCAACACCTCTGATACTGGTTGTCCTGGTGCCCATCCACATGGCACCTCTCCCTCTCACTCACAAGCCACAAAGATGGGAGGTTGCTCTGACAATGTCCCCAGCCATGCAAGAAGGGGACATCAGCCATCACATGCTGGTGAAGGGTCCTATGAACTGCCATGAGGCCCCACACTTGGCAGGCCATCTCCCAGGCTACAGGGCAGTAACCAGATTTCTTTTCCAATGAGTGGTCCCAAACAGAACAAATCCCCATGCAGGCAAACTAGCAAGCTAGCAGGGTAAATTTTGAACCTGAGCAAGTGACGCCATTTTCCGTTTCTTTTTTGAGGGAAAAAAACAGTAATATGGGGGAATGGGAAGCTACTAATATAGGTGCCTGCTTCCCTGGAGAAGAACAACCACGAAATTAGCATGAGAATCCAGTTCAGTAAACATGTGAGGGCCTGCTCTGTGCCAGGCATTGTGGGCAAGGCAAGGAAGAGTGAGACATGATCCTTGCCTGCAAGGAGAGGATGAGAAAGGGAAGAAACAGGTGTGCACAAAACCTCCTGGATAAACACTGAAACAGGAGGGAACGGAAGTCCTGTGAGCCAGGCAAGGTAACTCCGTTACTGAGCCAAAGTCTGACTTTGGGCAAATCACTTAATCTCAATTTTTCATGTATAAAATGGGACAATTCTTGCCTTGCTGACCCTGTAGAGTTGTAAGGACCAAAAGGACTGAAATTAATAATAATAGTAATAATAATAATAAAGCAGGAGGAGGAGTAGAAAAGGCTTTTCAGACCCTCCTGCTCTAAGGCCCTGTGACTGATACTCAAGGATGAGTGCCCCCTGCGGACGGCAGCTAAGACTGGTGGTAGGTTCCTGATGCAGATGGCTGCCCACTCTCCAGCCAGTCCCAGGAGCAGCAGTGCCCTGTGCCCTCATTCCCACAGCTGGTTCCCACTGGGCACCTCGTCACATGCCCAGGCACTGCCTCGGCATAAGCAACTCTCTCCAACTTGTTCAAACTCACCTGATACAGAGGGTGAAGGTGCTGAGTCCTAGTAATCTTAATAAATCTTGGCGCCTGAGAGCCAGAAGGGACCTTGTAGAACATAGTGTCCCATCTTCCCATATGTACAAAGGGCGAAGGAGACAGGAGGGAAGGTGCCTTGCTCGAGGTCACTCACTGAGGTGGTGGGACAGCTGGTATTGGAATCTTGTTCTCTGCACTCTCCTGGCCCAATACAGCTGCTTTTCTTTCCTAGGAAGGTTTTGCCACCACTGACTCTGATGCCTTTCAAATCCTTAGGAAAAGGAAAAGACAACCTTTTCCCAAGCTCTCTGTTCTTTGGGGTCTTTCATTCTTTGGGAAAATGTTTACTACATTCCTGTTATGCATGTGACCCTAATCACAACACGGGTTCACAGAGACGAAAATGGCATGTCCCAGGCCCTGAGGAGCTCTTGGTTTAGTTATCACTCAAACGCTCTCTCCAGGAAACCTTTGGAACCTCTGCTCTGGGAAAGGAAAGTCCTTCTAACTCGGTTCCCTTTAGTCATGTGTGCAAGGAGAAATCTTCTCATTGCTAAGCCTCTTTACTTCCTGAGTTTTTCCATTCATGCCTGTCTGGCAGCTTCTGCCACCCTGGCTGTGGGCCCAGGTGGTATTGCGAGCAGAGAAAAGGCAGGCAGCCTCACTCTGGAAGGCTTGCCAGCCGGTAGCTGTGCCTCTTCCTGACCCTTAGGGTTTTCCTGATACCTCGTGATTGCTTCATCTCTGCTCCCTGCTGTCCCTAAAGAATTTGCTTTTGCCTTCAGCTGAATAATTGTCTTCCTCCAGTTTGTCCGTGGAGTGACTGCTTTGGTGTCCTTCAGCCTCCCTCTCCCCCAGTCGCCATCTTGGTGTAGTTGAGTTGCCTGGAGTCCAAGGCTTTGAGGCTTGCAAATAAAAATAATATAGTTCAGTGGAAACTCTGCCTGATGTGCGCAAGTGAGAAAACTAGAGTCCAGTGAAAGGTTAGACTGGAGATTCTGAAATCCTTTCAAGCTCCAACATTTCTGAAAAGGTATATCCAAAGGTTGACAGCCTGAAAAATTAGTAGGGTTCTATTGTGTGTGTCCAGACCTAGGACCAACTCCTCCTAGCATTTTAAATGAATATGGGCATCAAGTTTTGCTTCTGACTCTCCCTACTCTCAGATGAGGTCCCCCTAGAGGAGAAGGTGTAGGAAATTGGGATTCTGTGGGACCAGTATACACACTTACACTCTTATGAAATGGTGCTGTTGTCTGTGGAAGCGTTCCCAGAAAGAATGGTGTTCCTTCTCCCTCTGCGCTGGTTAACACCTTCCTTGTGCTGAAATACTAATGAATGGACCCCAGATGGCAACACATGGCTCCCAAATCCAAGAGTGCCCTCAGGGCACCATGATTCTACTCTAAACAAGCCATGACTTGCCAATTATTTGCTTTTCTGGAGAAACCTCAACCTGAAAATCCATTTAATTACCATGGGAGATAATCTTATAAACATAGCTCTACATTCTTTAAAGACTTTTCCCTGTGGGAGAAAGTTTATCTGAACATGGGATTGCATTGTTTATTTTCATTTCCAGAGGAAGGACTACTACCTGGTAGTTAGCAAGAAGCCTGAGCCCTGAAGGATTTATTTTTTAAGTCTGTTCCTCCTCACTGATAGTTTGTCAATTATATTCTATTATATTGTAATTATATTTCCTATGAGGAAGATTAGTAAGTCCACCAGCCTCAAAGACCTACGTGGAGCTGTCAGGTAGCTGTCAGACACCAATTTTTCCGACTTGGGGCATCCCAGTGGATTCATTAAATTATTCCCCAGCAGAATGCTAGCTTGGGTGAGCAGGGGGCATATTGTTGTGTTCAACATGGCGGCCCCAAGATCCAGAGCAATTCCTGCTCATAATAGGTGTTCAATAAACAGATGCTAAATTGCTGAAAGTCAACAGGTCTTCATGTGGAGAACATGTGTATTGTGTCTAAATATGAACAATGTACAAAATAAAGCAGAGCTTGGTGGGCTCTCGTCCCTGGCATGAGGCTGCTCTAGTCCTTCTTTCTCCACATCACTCTAAGAGCAACTAGTCTTGAGGCATTTGTTGGACCTGATTCTGTAGGCTGAGATCTCTGGACCTTGAAGAATATACCTCTGGGGATTAAGAAAAGAAGAGAAAAGATGTAATTGTATTGAACACAGAATTAGAAGGTGAAGAAAAACCTTTTGTGGAAAACATTAAATCTTGAGCTTGACTCTCTCCTTCCAGGTCCCGATGGGGAGAAGAGCTGGTCCAAGAAGTACCCGTCATGTGGGGGTCTGTTGCAGTCCCCAATAGACCTGCACAGTGACATCCTCCAGTACGATGCCAGCCTTGTGCCCCTTGAGTTCCAAGGCTACAATGTGTCTGCCAACGAGCAATTTACCCTGACCAACAATGGCCATTCAGGTGAGGGGCAGATCTCTGAGAGTAGCAGGGGATGTCTGAGCTCCCCTCAGCTCCCTGGCCTGCCCTCTTCTGTCTATCAGGGAGGGGGCTCTGCTGAGGCACCCAGGAGGAGGGGCAGAGGGGAGCCCTTGAGGGATGCCTGGACCACTCTCTTCAGGGGATGCTGGAGGCCCTGGGGTCGGGTGGTTCAGCCAGGGCAGGACCTCTCAGAAGAAGCACATCTCCTGGGATGGGAGAGGAGACAGGCCCGGGTCCTTTTGCCCATTGGCTGTGGTGCAAGAGTGAATTTTGGGGCATCATGGACTACTCAAGGGGACACACAGTTCACTGGGGGAGCACTCAGGTTTTGGAGTCAAACCTGGATTTGAATCTTGGCTTGATCATTTATGAGTCATGAGACTCTGGGTAAGAATTTTAACCTCCTTGAGCTTTTATCTGCAAAATGGGCATATTGATGGGTACTATGAAGACTAGAGATTATATATATTGGGATCTGGAATAGAGTAGATGCTTCATAAATAGTAATTATTATTATTGTTGTTATATAATTCTATAGCTTGGCAGATACTTCATTAAAGGTTCTATCTTCATGGCCAGGTGTATAATACATGGATATGTAAACAAACATCCATCCATTGGTCTAGTATTAGTGTTCCTGCTATCATTTTCCAAGGGGAACCAGGAAGGCATTGGTGCCGCTGGAATTGCTTTAATGAAGTGGGGACGTTCTCAGGGAAAGAGCCCAGGTTTCTGACCTGCAGGCTGTGTCTCTCTGGTCTCCACCTCCTGCATCCACCTGCCCCCTGTCTGGTCCCCAGTCTGGTGTTGCCTACCTGACTGCTCTCAGGCAGCGCTCAGCCGGCCAGGGTTCTGAAGGCTGCACCTCCACTCCCCACAGTGAAGATGAACCTGCCCCCGGGCATGCACATCCAGGGCCTCCAGTCCCGCTACAGTGCCACGCAGCTGCACCTTCACTGGGGGGACCAGAATGACCCCCATGGCTCCGAGCACACGGTTGGTGGGGAGCACTTCGCCGCTGAGGTGAGTGGGGCAGCCAGGCTGGCAGTGGGTGGTCTGGCACCCTTCCACTTGGCTAGTGTGCAGGTAAGATCAGAGCATGGGGTGGGGCTGCCTTCATGCTCCACACACCCACCCCTGGCCCTGTCAGCAGCACAGGAAGGTAAAGCCACTCCAGCCACCTTGCAGCTCATGTGTGGTGTCCTGCCCCCACTTCCTCTCCTGAACATGCGGAGTTTTTCTCTATGTCTTTTACCGAGTGATGCTGCCCAGAAGGCAGTGCTCCCAGAGTGGCACAGTGGGACACACAGGCCCCTTTTCTAGATATCGCCCTCCCACTTGCACAGATTAAGATCCCACCAGCTTCTCTGGCTTATGCCTCCCACTACTGAATCATATCAGGCTAATTGCTTCCCCAAACTTCTCAGTCTTTCTTCATTCACATGCCATGCTGTTAGCACAGGTCTTTCGCATCCCATCATTCCTTTCCCCGGGCATGGGTTGTGCTGGTAACTTGCGGCCCTGGGTCCAGAGCCACTCTCCACAAATCAAGGGATGACTGGCATTATAATGCGGGGCACATCATGGCAATCAGAGACTCACTGAGGACTCAGAGCATGGGATGTCAGCACAGCATTGTGTTATGTCACCCTGAGGCACCAACCCCAATGCCCAAAAACCAGGAGGAGAAGCAGAGCATTGTTCCTACACTACAAGTGTGCAATGGTGTGTGTAGGGGGTTGAGTTGCTCCCTTTCAGATGGGATTCAATTTGGGTTTGTGGTTCTGAATGTTTACAGGGCAACGCAAAGAGATAAATGCTACTGATCAGCCAGTGGAGCCCATGGCAAATAATGACATGACCACTCTCCTCTGTTCTTAACTGCTGAACTGCTTAATGTCTCAGGCTAATTACAGGTCAAGTAACAAGTGTGGAGGGACTATAATTCAGGCCCAATATGATGGCACTACTGGAGGTGCACATATTTCAGACCAGGCCCCTCTCTGAACCTCCAGGACTGCAATTTCTTTCAGGCTAATTGCAATGCGGAGGCTTCTACTTTCCCGTGGAGAATGAAGAAGGAGTTAGGGTGTAAGCTGGGAGGGTTTGGGCATTTAAAAATATTTCTAGTTATTGTATTTTCTGCTATTAAGTTACATCATCAGACCAAGGGCTTGGTGAAGATGGACCATAAATGTCAATAATAGAGAAAATACATCAAGGTGACCCTAAAGTGGCAGATTCTCTAGGGAGGGTCCTTGAAAGTGTAGCAGTTCTTCTGGATTGAGTCTATATAAGAAGCCTCTCTTAATCTTCTCAGTGGGAAATTCCCTTCTGTTTATATTAGTCTTCACCTCATCTTGATTTAATCTCCACACAGTGATAAAAGTGCTAAGACAGACCAGAAGCTCAAAGTTTAGCTGTAAAAAGAAATGAGGATATAGGACCTTTGGCGTTTAGCCATATAGAATTCTGCTCTGTTTCTCACAGCGATGCCAAGCCACAATGGTGTGGGGCAATGCGGCGGGCTACATCCTTCAGGGAGAAAGATGGTGAAGTAGGAGCCCCTAAGAAATCCTTAGTAGAGGACCACTTAAAAGAAGAAATGATTTGATATAATTTTTAAAAATTAGAAAGGACCACTTGGAAAATGGGGAACATTGAGCTGCATTCAATAAAACAATGCTTGAATTCTATCTATAACCACATAAGGTAGAAAAAGAGATGAATGAAGAAAAAGAAAAGAAAGAGATAAAATCTCAATGTGTCATAGTCCCAAGAGGCAAAGAATCAACAAAAACACATGTGTCATATATATAGATTGATCTACTAAGATAGTTTTTTGGAAGACAGGTGACACCACCTTTAGGATTAAAAATCAGGTTAAACATTGTCAGAATTTGTCATAACAATGTCTTCATGCTTACCTAGACTTTTTAAACCCAAGATTTCTCAGAAACTTCTCTTTTCCTCACTTTAATAATGATAAGTAATTTCTGCTTTGAAAAAATGAGTTTAGAATTTTATTTGGTAAAGGTCAAAGTCTGCACCCGTGGAATAACAGTCTTGTTTCACGGCTTGTTAAAATATGGCTGATAAAACCTTTATAAAAGCCATGCTGTGATTTTCTCCACCTGAGGGATAGATACGTGTCCTGCTCTGGAGATAACTGAGATTAAGTTACAGTCGGAGGTTCACTGCCCCAGCCCCTACTGCTTCCACATCAAGTGCAGAGTGGCCAGGCTGAGGCCGGGCAAGCCACTTGAGACCATTTTGCCCCAGGATCCAGAATAAGTAGAAAAAATCAGAAGGGAGAAGTGCTCCAAGTACCCGAGCTTTTTCATGGCTAGTATAAAAACCCATTTATTCATTCATTCAGCATCTATTGTGCACCTCATACTTTCTAAGTACCATATCAGACACTGGGATACAATGAGTGAATAAGATGGACAGTCTGCCTTGGTGGAGTCTGCAGTCTCGAGAGGACTGAGGGAAAGGGGAAAACTGGGGAGGCGTGAGGGGTGAGTCGGAGAGGCCTGATCTAGCAGTAGGGGTGGGAGGGGGGATTCCGTCCTCCCACTGGATTAGAGTCTCCTGCAGAATTGAAAGGTTCCCATGAGTTGCTTTGATGGGTGGCTTCTCTCCCACTGCAGCTGCACATTGTCCATTATAACTCGGACCTGTACCCTGATGTCAAAACTGCCAGTAACAAGTCAGAAGGCCTCGCCGTCCTAGCTGTTCTCATAGAGGTAAGAGATGTTTAAAGGGATTTTACATGGAATTTGAAGCCAGGATGAGTTCGGCCTTTGGTTCCACGCGCACCTGTCTGTTGGATGTGTGTGGCTCTGGTAATAAGCTGCTCCCATTTCAGCTGTGTCTTGCCACTAGCATGGGGGTATTTCCCCATAGGGTTCCTTCTCTCTTGGCCTGGAGGCAGCACTTTCTGTGGCTCAGCAGCAGAAATGTGCATGTTCTTTGTGACATTGGAAAAATGAGCCCTGGTCCTCAGCCCTATTGCATAAGGCATGGAATTGCCCAGTTGGATAGGACCTGTGTGTGTCCACAGGGGTAGGGGGTGGGAGGTGGGGATCATTCAGTGCTGCCCCATCAGATGCCTGAACCCCTGATACAACTCCCAGTATACAAATTCTATCCTTTACAAGGACCCTGGAATCAGTTCTTTCCTTAATCCCAGAAAATGGGAACGTCTCTTGATTTGCTTGCATTTTTTTCCCCCAATGAGCCAGCATGTATCTCGTTTCTCAACATGCTTACTTGCCTGACTTGGCTTGTGTAAACTCAAGCTCCCTTAAGTTCTGGTTAGAGAACATGCTAGTTGTAGCCTTCAGGCTCACAGCCAGATAATCAGGAGCACAAGCTATACCCCATGCCCTGAGACACTCAAGCCCCAGTGCCTTTAGCTGGAAACAGGACATCCTGAGATGCAAGAGGGCAGGACCATTACACCAACCCCCTAACAGCCTAGTGATCCATCATAATTATCCTAGTAAAGTGCCTCCTTCGGAGAGGACCTGGGCAGTGGAGACTACATACCCCCAGAAGAGCCCTTCCATTGGGAATTGTCAATCCAGGCCCAGCCTATAGAATTCTGTCTCAGTTCGACCTGCCCTGTCTCTGTTGCAGATGGGCTCCTTCAATCCATCATACGACAAGATCTTCAGTCACCTTCAGGATGTAAAGTACAAAGGTGAGGGGTCCTTATTCATTCACCCTCTGTGGGAGAAGGATGTAGTCACCCCCGTGTGACCTGAAGAAAAATGAATGCAGGGGGCAGGTGCTGTATGTGACTGGGTCCTTGGGTCAGATGGCCCAGAGAGGGGCTAGTTCACGTTTCTAGGCTTAGTCATATGCTCAGCTGCACCTCTGCTCTAGAGAGCAAGGCCAACATCATCCCCTGAACATGTCTCTCCAGGTCAAGAAGTGGTCATTCCAGGTTTCAACGTTGAAGAGCTACTTCCTGAGAGGCCTAATGAGTACTACCGCTACAAAGGGTCCCTCACCACACCTCCTTGCCACCCTACTGTGCTCTGGACGGTTTTCCGGAACCCTGTGCAAATTTCCCAGGAGCAGGTAACTGTCGTGCCCGTCTGAGTCAGAGACTACGTGGTACCTCACCCATATCATAATCAACAACTGGATTTCCACACTTAGTTTCCTTGGTAGCTATTCAAAACTTCCCCAAAGATCACAGGTGCCTGGAAGCACTGTAGAAATTACAGACCAAGCTTCAAAAGTGGAGCTATTAAGTTAAGCTAGGAAAATGAACCTGTCTCCATAGTTCTTTAAAAGAAAAGTTGTTAAGGGGCTGGCCCTGTGGCCAAGTAGTTAAAGTTCCATGCGCTCTGCTTCAGCATGCCAGGTTCGCAAGTTCAGATCCCGGACGTGGACCTACTCCACTCATCAGCCATGCTGTGGTGGCGACCCACATACAAAATAGAGGAGGATTGGCAATGGATGTTAGCTCAGGGTGAATCTTCCTCACACACACAAAAAAGTTAAGCTGCATTTCCTAATAGATCTCTCAGTGGCTGGATGATGGTCACCTCCCAGGCAGGAGAGACCATGGTTCCTCTACAGGGGCAGAATAAAATAGGATCAGGTTAAATTGTTTAACAAACTGGGGAGCTGGGACTGCAGCATCAAGTAAGTGAGGGTCTCTGCCCTCAAGAAGCTCACAGTCTAGTGCAAAACTGGGGTAAGAATCCTGAGCAATCATCTCTAACCCTCTCATTTTATAGGTGATAGAAATGAGGGTTAGAGAGTTGTGGGAACTTGAGGGATCACCCATTGGGTAATGACAGAGCTAAGACCCAAAGTCAGGTCTTCTGAGTTCCAGGTCACTGCCCGTCCCTCTACTCTACAGCCTAAATTCATCAAGAAGAAAAACATCTGTCCAGGAGATGGGGCCAGGGCAGTGCTGCACACTGGCTCATGGCCCACCCCACCCCTCACCCCCACTCATGAGTCCAGTACAGTCCTCACTGTTGCTCCTTCTTTTTTACTATTAGCTTCTGATCTGAGTAACATAGATAAATGGCGGCAAGTAGGCGGACAGGAATAAAGATGTGATGAATCAAGAGATGAAATGTGCTGGGAAGCAGTAACACCCTAACCTAGAAACTGCCTTGGCAACAGATTATATCCTCTATATTGGTGTATGAGAATTAATGGAACTAGCAGTCAGATGACCTGTGAAACTCTTACCTCCCTCTTTTTATTCCTTTTGATGAGACCATCAGAACAAGCCCCTAGTCCCCTCTGCTTTAGACTTGGGCTCCAATTCAGACTCATGAGAGGAACGCAGTGTCTGTGGGAGGCTGAGGAGCCCCTCCACCACCCCACGTTTCCCTCCATGCAGAGTAGATTTCAGGTGTCATCAGGAGCTAACAGCACTAACCTTCCCCTAAGCCTCCTCTCTGGCTTTCCCACTGCTTTCTAATGTGTCTCCCACCAAGCACCACAGGGGCTGGTTCCAGTTGCTTCTCCAAAGTGTGAGAGATGAGAGTTGGCAGTCTCTTCCCCCTTGAGGCCAGGCAAGGAAGCGTCACTCTCCCCGCCTGGTGTGTTTCTGCTCTTCCTCCCACAGCTGCTGGATTTGGAGACAGCGCTGTACTGCACACAGGTGGATGACCCATCCCCCAGAGAAATGGTCAAAAACTTCCGGCAGGTCCAGAAGTTTGATGAGAGGCTGGTGTATGTCTCCTTCCGACAAGGTGAGGAGATGCTGTGTTTGTGGGGAGTGTGGCGCCAAGAGGTCTGTTTTGTATGAAGCCGGGTACCCTGCCTTCGGTCTTTGTCACCAAGGCCCTTAGGAGGTTAAGAACACTGTGGCTGCCAAGGGAACCAAGGTACATGAGGAGCTATTGTGTGTGGGTTTCCTTGGGTCTCCCTTCACTGCCCTTGACTTCTGAGCCTTTGCAGGGAGGCCAAGCCAGGACCTCCAGGTACATGGACCAGAGCCCTCATTAAGTCTGGGAGTCTCCCACAGATGGGGAAGAGAGGATGTTCTTGAGGACCTCTCTGCTCTGGAGAACTACCCCTTCTCATAAGACACATGATACCACCCTTTTCATGAGATCAAACTTCTTCTTACCCTAGGCTTTCTTGGCATCAAGGCCCATCTTAGGCCTTGCCAAGTGATTCATGACACCACCACCACCAACATCCAGGGATGCTCCTTTGTAAGGTTTTAGAAAGTGGGCATAACCCAGATCTGTGGCCACTAGCAGCTTGTGGTCTAATGTAGCAGGGCCCATCAGGCAAGAAAGCATCCTCGTTCACTGCCTTTTTGTCTGATCTCCTTGGAGCTTGCATGCGCACAGGCACACAGGATCTATATGGAATGAAGCGTAATAGTTGGGTTTATTCCTAATTCTGTGAAAGCTTGGTTCTTCCTTTAAAATCTGTAACCATAACTCCCCAGAAGGATATTTAACATCTTTACTTGCTCAGTACCTACATCAATGCTACTGGAAGCTGGGAGTCCAGGGGAAAGGAGTGAGGGAACACTCTTGGGGTCCACACCCTTCTTCAAACCTCCAAGTACACTTTCTCACTGTAGATTCTTGAGTTGCTCCCAACCTGGGACTCTCAAATGGTCTGAAGCAGGATAGGTCCGTGGAAATTCCATTTTATCCCCTTGCATCATTTGTGACTGAACTGGGCCAGGTGTTCATATTTAAAGATGACCGTATTACCCCACTTGTCAGAGAATCAGCTCTTCTCGTCTCACCTGGTGCACCTTTTTTTGGTCCTTTCTTACTGTGTGAGATTATAACTGTCACCTACTAAGCTTAGTTGAAGATATGAAGATTATATTCAAGGCCCTTGCCTGAAAGCTTTAGAAACATGCCCTTCTGAATTGACCCATACATATGGTCAGATTCATGTCCTTCTCTGTCAGTCACTTAAACAAGAACTGCCCAAGAATTTGTCTTTTGTGTTCTCCTCTCCAGAGACCACTAGTTAAGGTAACTTCCCTCTTTTTCTGTTTCCTGGTCTGAAAACTGAATCTGTGAACAATGGCCCTTCCTAAAAGTTAAGAACATATATGATGATGACTACTAACTTTTTTTCTAGCTAATGCCTCAAATGTACAGAATTATCCCTTTGTGATCTATTCTGGATGTAACTTTCTCTTTTCCCATTCTAAATGGAGTATGTAGTAGTCAAGGGTTAACTGGAAATAGTTCAACTCTTAAATAAAATAAATAACAGAAAAACTCTGCCAGGAGATAAGGGACTTTGCCCACATAGATCAGGTAGAATTTTGCTTGTAATTCAAGAATAATAGTCAGCTCTGTGCTCTGGGCTAGTCTATATAAGTCACAGGGGATAAGGGGACAAATCCTGCCCCTCACTTTGTTTCCTCCTGGCTGTATGATGTAGGCAAATCATGTCCCTTCTTTGGCCTTAGTTTCCTCAGCCATAAAATGACAGGCTGGACTAGGAGAGCTAACGTCCTTTCAGTGCTAACCTGTTACGATTCTAAGTGGACACTAACAACTGCCCGTCCTGACTTTACGTTGCAGGGACAGTATTTGAGGGCGGTGATAAAGGATCAGAAGAAACCACGCAGGAACTTGAGTCTGACATCCAAAAGTATCCCCCTCTTGTAACGATGGACTGTGGCATTGGGAATAAATAGCCATCTTCTTAAACCGGTCAGGCAGTGCAGTGGGGCGTGTAGCAGAGCGCTTCAGTAGACCTTCCCAGTGTGGTGGGGGGCGTTGAAGGGCCTCTCAGCAGCAGCCCGCAGACCGACTCCCAGATTACGACATCAAGATCAAAGCCCACATGCAGCTTTGTCGCTGCCCCTCTTGCACGGCTGGCCCAGAGCTGCTGCTTCCAAGAGCCCAGGCTGGGCCCAGTTCTCTCCTTGGAGTGAGAATCTGCGGTAGTCCAAAGCAAACCTGTTCATTTGGAGGCTGATTATGGAAACTTGGCCAGAATTCTCCCCTCCCTCTCACTTCCCAAAGATACAGGCAGCAAACGGGGCTGTTTCCTAAGGAGCAATGATGAGGCAGCCCCAAAGGAATGAAACCCCAAACCTCATTCCCCCAGGGGTGCCTGCATTCATAAGGGCCCTCGTACAGCAACTTGGAGTAGGTCTCAGACCATAACATGCTGTTTCAGGTTTATGGGGTGAGCCTGTTTGTCAGCGTGAACCTTGAGCAATTTGGACTCATTATTTGTACAGTCTTCCACTGAGGCATGTTTGTAATTAGGGTCTGGTTTATTCAGGTTTTTTTCTGGAAGTTAACAAGAATGATGGGGTTAAAAAATTCTGCCAGGAGAAAAGTAATGTTAAGGAAATCCTCTAGAAGAGAAAGTGTAGGGACTTTGAGAGGAGGATCTGAGGTTTAACCAAATCGGACAATTGGGATTGAATCATTTAACTTGACCCTGCTTTTTCCTCAACTATCCTCAGAAAAGGAATACAGAACTTGGTTTCTGTCCTTAAGAGGTGTACAGTCTAAGTACGACTTACCCTAGGGCAGGGTTTCTCAATCTTCACACTACTGACATTTGGGGCTGGATAATTCTTGTTGTAGGGGGCCGTCCTGGGCATTGTAGCATTAGCAGCATCCTTGGCCTCTACCCACTAGATGACAGTAGCATCCCCCCACTTGTGACAGCCAAAATGTCTCCAGACGTTGCCAAATGTCTCCGAGGGGGAGGGGAAAATTGCCCTTGATTGAGAACCACTGCCCCAGGGATTGTACAATGACTCCTAGGCCCAGATTGATTTTTTTCACTCATATCACAGGATTCTAGAGTTTTATATCACATGCCTTGGTCTTTATTTTATTACAGCATGACATTTCCAATTTTACCCCCGAAACAATAAAGTTGGAGTTACTAAAGTAGAACAACCAAACCCAAGAGAAACCCTGTTCCCCATCTTCCTTTAGAATCTGAGTATATATTCTTTTTATATAATTGGGTAGATCCAAGGCTAAGAGAAGTGGATGAGAGACAACTACTCACCCTTAAGAGAAGTATACAAATCTCTATCCCTTTAGTTACCAGATGCTTGAGCATCTGCCTCCAATGGGACCCCAGCCTTGTGGGCTTCATCCAGCTCTGCAGGGAAGCCCCACTTTCAGGATGGTTGGTGCTGTCTCAATTGGCAGGGCACAGCATCTCAACAACATTCCTGCCCTGAGCTTCCTGAGGGAGAGAATTCTTATTAGGTGACTCTCTCACCACCATTCCTCTTCCTTAGTGGCTCTTTGCTTACTCAGTCAAGCTGCTTTGTTTTTTCTGCATCCAAGTCTTGGCTGAAAAGCATCTGTCCCAGTCTTTGGAGCTTTCCTTTTCTTCATGGCTGCTTGGTCTCATTTCATTGTTTCCAAGGAGAGGCAATTTAGGCCCTGACAAGTGGTTGTCCAGGAGCAAGAAGCCCTGGTTAGAGCCCTGGATTAAATTAAGCTGTTGTTGATAGGGCCTAATACAGCCAAGAGCACTGCTCGGTGAACCAGGAAAGCCAGACTCTCCCTCCAGATAAGCCACCAATCTGGGTCATGTGTTCTTGTGAAAAGTCCCATCCCTGGGGGCATTGCTCTCAGTAGACTTGGCTCAGCTCTCTAAGACCATAGGATGGGGACACCTCCTCCAGCCATAGAGTGGGGCTGCTCAGCTGTCTGGGGGCCTGTGTGGCTTGCAGGATGTTTGAGGCAACCTTAAAAGCAGTGACTTCAGAAACTGTCCAGTTTGGACGGCTTAGCAAAGTGGTTAGCCCTACTAGTAATAGTCTCATATGGTGAGAACAGCTTTGGTACCATAAGCATCTGGAGCTTTATGAACAAAGAACAAAAGTGTATTTCATCAAAAGGCTTGGAAAAGAAACCATGACTAGTTGGGTTCTTGTGGTGGTGGTGGTTGTTTTTAAGATCCTAAGGACCATGGCTTCTAGGTACCTTTTAAAAAAGCCCCAAAATACCAAATTACACTGTGCAGAGGCCACAGGCTATGCAGGGAACAGAGCATGTGCTGTACAAACACCTGACACTCTCCCCAGGTGGAGACTCATGTCCTGAGCATCTCCCTAAGCCACACACTGGTCCTTGTGTTCAGGCTACTAGAGGCCTGAGGCAGGGAATCTGGCCAGGGGAGCCACTCTTTCTGCCACTTGGGAGGCCATGGGTTGCTGGTTTTGGCCAGCAAGAGCAGAGAGAACAGGCACCCTGTCATTTGTGGACAGCTCCTCTCCATGCCTGCTCTGTTTATCATCACAACAGCCTGGGACCACCTGGGAAAGCCAGACCAAGGACTCCCAGGGTCCAGTCTTGAACCAGGAAGGCTGCAGGCTCAATGTGAGATTGTGGAAGAGGACAGTAGGAAAACGACACAGGGCTGATGGCTTCTGGGAAATCAGCCAGACTCTGGGCACATGACAGAATGGGGGTGAGCAAAACCTCACTCTGCAGTCTCAGGTCTGGTCCCCTGGGATATCAAGCACCCCAAGGGTAAGTCCTTGGCTCTCTGCTGGCATCTCACACTTGGTCAGGGCTCTCAGAGGGTCTCAGTCACCATGGTGGGCTCTATAGGAATAGGGTCTCCTGTGTGTCAGGGTGGGTGGCCACCACCTGCACAACTCTGGCTTCCAACATGAACTGAAACAAGCACACACACATACATGCTAGAAGTTTCTACTGAGGTCAGAAAACCACCAGACAAGAGGGTAGGTGTAAACAGACTTTCTTTAGATGGAGGACCTGATTGGGAGAATGGGGAGTGGTTCTAAGAGCCTGGAAGAAGCAGGCTGGGGGTGAGCCAGGGGGGCTTCATGACTGGGCTCCTCTATCTTACTCAACTAGATGGACTCACCCATGACCCTCCCCTAGTGAGGTCCCTAGTAGGCTGACTATGGGACTTCACCTTAGAAAGCTGGGCACTACTATTTCAGCCCCACTGAGGACTCTTAACTCACCCCATTCATCCCCAACAATAACTTGCTGGGAGAAGCCACAGTCCTCTGGTTCCATGCAGCAGAGAAGGGAGGCTGGTATGGTGCAGGAGTGTCTTCAGTTTGTCCAGTGGGGCCAAAGCAAAAACAGAACCAGACCATGACGACAAGACTGGGTGGGATAGGGCAGAAGTCTGGTGACAGGTTCCAACTAAGCTCTGCCAGCCCCTGCCAGCCAGAACCTGACAGGTTCCTTGCTGAGGAAGCTGGGTAGATACCAGAAAAGAGATAAGAGCCTGCTCAACTAGACCCTGATTCTTACCCTTCCTCACCTTCCAATTTGGCCACTTTGTATTAAGAACTGAAGTCCTGCCTAGCAAAGAGACTGCAGTGATAAGGGAGCATTGGAAGGAGGGATCATGATGTGAATTCCCTAGGTGGGCAATTCCCTCTACCCATTAAGCAGTTACCTGAGCCAAGGGTGAACACCCCCAGGTCTGCATAAGCCCCGTACCTCCAACCAAACAAAAGGTAGAGCTTTTCTCAGCACACTGTCAAGTCCACCACGGTTTGACTCAGTTAATTTCCAATCTTTTCCTCTCCCCTTTAAAGTGCAAGACCTTACCTCCACAGGACTGAGTCTGGGTATGTGGCCGGCAGGCCGTGCATGCTGCAGCTTCGTGATCACTGTGATTCTTGCTGTGATCTGGGCCTGTGATACTTCCAGCCCATCCTCTCTGCTTCTCTGTGCTGTCATGCTCTGGCCCTCTCTTCGCTGTGGGTTTTACCCTCAAGTCACTCTCTGATTCAAAGATGAACTACCAATCAAATGCTCCTCTAATGAAAGACCTAATCACTCTACAGCATGTGTACAAAGAGCCTATCCAAGACCTTCTGTGGGCCATGGTTGGAGGCCGTTGCCTAAAAACAGGCACTGCCTGAGCCCAGGGTGGAGTTGGGTAACTGACCTTGACAGTGGGATCTGGTTGTTTCGGGCTGCTTAGGACTGTGCAAGGGAACTTGGGGGCAAAGCTGATAAAGAGTCATCCCAATAAGCCTCAAATCCAGCTAGCAAAGATGGAGTAAGTTCTTATTCTGTAGCCCAGGGTTTCTCAAAGTGTGGTTCACGGACCACATACATCAGCATCAGCTAGAGGTGTTTGGTAACCCAGCAGATTCTTGGGCCCCACTCCAAACTGAATGTGAATCAGAGTCTCTGAGGGTTGGGCTCAAAAAAGGTCTACATTTTAAACAAGCTCTTCAGATGATCCTGGTGTAAGTTTGAGAATCCCTGCTAGAGAATCACTACAATTTGCAAATGGCCCCTCTAAGTACTCTAGCCAGTCCTGCCAAGCCAAAGACCAGAACCTGAGAACAGAGATGGGGAAATTATACCTTTCTGTGGATCATTATGCAGCTGTCACTTGGCTTCACACCCATGTGCCGTTGGATGAGATGAAGGGGAAGGGAGGAAAGTAATGTATGTCTGCTGCCTTTTCACCAGGCATTATTCTTTGGGTGGTCCTGGCTGGTGTTCTTGGCATCTGTGTTGTCCTGGCAGTGTCCATTTGGCTTTTCAAAAGGAGAAAGAGGTGAGCTGGTTTTGGTTTGAAATGGAAGTGGGTGGCTTATGTGTCCATAAGGACTGATCTGTCTGGGAAGACACCCTGCAGAATGAAGAGCCTGTCACCTGTACCAACACTTATTCTAGGAGTGCTGTTTCCCAAACACCACTGCCCCAGGCCTCCTTTGCATGAGACGCTGGGTGCTGGTCATTCAAGGGTCTTTATGCTCAGAGTTGGAGGTGTGTCTGCCAGCCTTGCTGCCACTGCTAATTAGCTATGGGACCTTGAACATGGCTCCTGATTTGAGGGGAGGGCCCATTTGCTTCAACACAAGCAGCAAGGCTGTCTTCTTTCCAAAATCTTTACATTTGGTTTTTCTTCTATGAATCCAAAAAGGAAAAATGAAAGAAAACCTGGTTTCTCACTCACGTTAGCTATTAAAGCCCTTTGCACATGTTTTTATTGTCATGTTTGGTTTTTCCTAAAACCTAATTTATTTTTCCTGGTATAAAAGAAAGGTTGCCAGGAACCCTGTTATGGAATCAGAGGTTTGAAGCGGGAGCAGTAATGAAACCTTCTTCAAAATGCAGGTCTAGTATTGTCAGGTGTTAAAGAGAACAGCTGGAACATGAATAGGTTCCACTTTGGTTAATGCTTTATTTGGGGGCATTCCCTCCCAAGACCAACAGAATTGGGGAAAGGCCCCCAAGAGAGGAATCTGACCTCTAAAACTTGCCTCATTCCATAGCTCATTCAGGCTGCTCTCTGGCTCTCTCTCATCTTTGACTAATAAGATTCATGTGTTCTGGTTGTTCCAGTAGCGAAAGGGGTGACGACAACAAAGGAGTCATTTACAAACCAGCCATCAAGACGGAGACTGAGGCCGATGCCTGAGGCCCAGGCACTCGCAGGCACGTCCAAGGAAGAACTTTGCTTTGGACGCTACACACTGTGGCTCCCTGGACATTTGCAACACCAGAGGCTTCTATGGAGCTCAACCCACAAATACCCTAGACCCTTGAGGGGACTCTAGCTGGGTGTGCTGCCATCCTGATGCCACAGCCACCCCAGTGTGATCCATGGGTGAGAAGACCTCGCCCAGGAGGTGGGAACTCGGAGCTGTCTACGTCATCTGTGTGAGACCATTAAGTGGTCTGGATTCTGGGGGCACAAACCAAGACACCTGCTGGGAACTGTTATTGGTTGGAAAACACTTTCATCCAGGGGTTCACGGAAGTGTGGTTTCAAGTGTCCTGGAAATTCTGCTTCTTGTCCAAGTTTTCAGACCAGAATGTGCACTCTCTGCTTAGGTTTTGCTTTTGAGATTCAGTTTCTTTCCTCAGGGAAGGGGTTGTTGTCTCCCTCTGATTTCTTTCTGCTATGACAAAACCTTTAGTCTGACCTTACAACTGAGGGGGAAGATTTGATACAGGAAGGGTCAAGGTGTCACAAAGAAAAAGAAAACAAGAGATGTACTTTGAACTATATCAGAGGCATTTTCAAAGTCCTGTCCTTTGGATCAGAGGCACTGATGGACCTTAGAGAGAGAATGAAAAGACACGTAAGGTCTGGAAGAGGCTCAGTTTGGAATCAGAATTGGAATCAGAAGTTGTTTGTCAAGCCATGTGAGAAGAAAAGAATATTAAGCCAAAACCTAACCTCCTGTCAGCAGGGCAGTTATGTTTTGTACCCTACAGATTTTATAAATAATTAGGCTGTTCCTTGAAAATGTATTGTTGCTTTCTCTTTCCTCGAGTAGACATGAGTTCTGAGATGACTCAAACTGCTTTTGAATCTAGAAGAACTAGGCAGAAGAAAAATGACTGAAGAGCTTTGTCTCTTTTGCCCAATTCATTTCTGCCCCCTTTGCAGTGTCCCTACTGTCAACCTGGAATTGGAACTCACCTACTTCTCTGACTTTGAAGATGTCGAGTCAAGGCTTAGTTAAAGTATATTTTCAAGCTATAAAAGCAGGAAGTTATCTGTGCAGGGGCTGGCATCATGGTATTTAGGAACCAATAATAATAGAATGTTACAAAGATTCTTCACGGTCTTCCCCTCAAGTCACAAAGAAGTTTCTGAGAAGACTTAACTCCTTCTTCATTCTCCTCTCATAGATGTGAGAGCCCCATGGAGATCAGTTAGTCCCAGGCCTGAGAAGGAGCCTCCTCCACCAGCCTCTCAGGTCTAGCACCTCAAAGTTCACAGAGAACTTTCCGATTCAGTCTCATTTTGACAGCACAGAATGTCCTCTTGAAGCATAAGTTTCTTTATAATATCTTTTTCCTTCTCCTTTTCCCTCTGACTCTGAGAAGTCTTCTCCCTTCTCCACTGTAACAACGTTTTGTAGTGATGGCAAGCCCTATGTCTTTGTAGCTTGTTAGGCAGAGCTACAAATGACCTAATGGAGACTGGACACGTGTGTGTGCATGAGACCTCTGACAGCCTTGGAGCCTGGGGTGGCCTCCTGGCCTTGCCATCAGCACGCCTGATGCTGATCAAATAACAGCAGGGACAACCCTCATGACCGAGCCATGTGAGTTACATGATGTTTCTTGGCCTCTGCCCAAAGTTGCCAATCAGAAACCAACATACCACTCCAGAGCTGTGGTACTGTCTTTCAAATAGCTCTCTACACCTTTTATGGACAAATTTTGTGAGAGAACAGAGAGATTACTGTACCTGGAACAATGGCTGTTCATGAAAAGGGAGATTTACCGGGTGGTGAAAACAGTGGTATTTCTTCTGCCCTCTTCCTCCTCAGCACAGCCCAGGCTCTTGGTCCTTGTGGATGAGACAAATCAAAACCAGGGAGGCAGACAGAAGGCTACAAGAATCAACACTGTCAACTTCCTTGCTAATCCTTATGGAACTCCTGAGGATCCAGCTTTGGAATTGGGAAACCTTTCTTCAGGTTCTCGCTCATTCCACTGACACCAGTGGCTACTAAAGGAAACCAGGGCTGTGGTGCGTGAAGCTCCATTGCCTCGCACTCACCCCTCAAAGGGCTCAGGCACTGTGCTGGGCGCAGCTAGCACAGTGCAGGTGGAGATAACAAAAACAAGGTCTAGGCTGGGGGAGGGACACAGGGGAAGCCCTGGCTTCTTTGCCTCTCACTAATGGGAGATTTTGAGTCTCTGTTTTGTTCTTTAGTATCATCTGGTAAAAACCTGTACCTTTTTCCTTAACAGACATTCTAGGATTTTGCTGCATTGACTATTAATCCCATTTCAAGTTCTGAAATTCTTCTTTATTTTTACCTTAAATTTTACCTTAAATTCTTCTCCTCTTCACTAAACTCTCTGAAGGCCTCCTGACTGGCCTTTAGGAAGCACCGAGGTCTATAGCACCCATCTATCCCTGTGCCTCGGATGGACCATAGGCCACTGTGATGACAGTCCATTTAGCACTTCTGTATTTATTGTAAGAATGATTGTAATGAAGACATATACTGTAAATATGAGAAATTATAAATAAAATGTTTTTTACATCAGACTGATATTTTGGAGGTGAGGTTAAAGCATTGCTATTGGCAAAGCCCTTTGTAGTTCCCTGTCCATGGTGATAGGTAACTTATCAGAAGGAATAACAATGTTGTCTGCATCTAGCCCTTAGAACCTGGCTCCAAAGGAAAACAAACTGATGTACTTAATCATTTTACTGAGGACAGAGGCCTATGGCATGTGCAGCCCCGGGATCACACAGCAGCTTAGTTAGTGGAGCTGAGAGTCTAGAATAATCAGGGAAAGGCTCAGGGAGAAAGGGGAAATCTGAGCTGGGCCCTGAAGCATAAGTCAGATTTGAAGAGGTGGATGGAAAAGAGGGAGACATTCCTAACCAAAGTGACATGAATATAAGGAATGGGTCTTTTGTCTCTTTTTACTTTACTAGGTATTGTACCTAGTAGGTTGTAGCCTCTCTTGGTTGTGTAACTGTTACCTTATTTTGGATCCTTTTTGCGAAACATGCTGTCACCTTCCATATAATCTTTGGTCTAAATCCAGATTTCACATTCTAGTTTGCTAAAGGAGGCAGTCCTGAAAAGGTTACGCATAGGCACCATCATTGTTTGTTTGAGTTGTTTCAAAAAGCTTCCAATTTTCATTTCAGTTGCCATAGGACCAAGATCAGTGAACTGTTCAAGGGTAATTTTGTAGGTGATAAAGAAGCAGGCCCAGCTTTGGAAGGGAAACATTACAAACTCCTCCAGGTTCTGATGGTCTCTTAAGTTGGAACATAAGGATTCTTCAGTTCTCCCCCTTTGGCATCCCACCAGGTGTCACAGCCACCTGCAGGGATGAGGACAGGTGGACAGTGAGGCACAGAGTTCCTGCAGAACACTCATTCCTTACATTTGCTCCCATCCCATTGGGAGTGGGGGTAGGGGGAGGCTGGAGGGAGCACTTCCTGGAGCAAGCATTGAGCAACAGAAGTCATCTCCCTTCTCTCTCCACAGCCTTTCTCCCTGGTCCCTGAACTTGAGATTCATCTGGGTTGATGGTCAGGGAAGTGTGGTGGCGACAGCCATGGGTTGGCAGAGGAGACTCAAGTCCTCCTTCAGCTTGGCCATTACCTCCTCATCTAAATCCAGCTAAATGGACACTCTAGAGCACAAAGTCCAATAGAAATACAATAAAATATAGGTGAGACATGTGAAATTTTAAACTTTCTAGGAGCCACACATCAAAAAAAAGTAAAAGAAACCAGTGGCATTAATTTTAGTAATATATTTTATATAACCCAATAGATCAAAAATACTATAATTTCAACATGTAATCAATATTTTGATATGAGATATTTTCATTCTTTTTTCCACAGTAAGTCTTTGAAATCTGGTGTGTATTTTATACTTAAAGCACATCTCAATTGAGATGCTAAATTTTCATTGAAAATATTTCATCTGTATTTAGAGTTCATAAAATCTGCAATTGAAAAAGCAGATTCACATATTCAAGTTGCTCCAAACACACTTAAAACTTTTCCAAATAACTGAATCAATTATCAGCTTTTAAACTTAAATTTATTAAAATAAAATAAATTGAGTTTCTCAGTTTCACTAGCCACATTCCAAGTGCTCAGGAGCCACATGTGGCAAGGGGCCAGCATAGCAACTGCGCAGATATGATATGGAACACTAACCTTCTCCTTTGACATACCCTTTGAAAGGGATTAAACATAGACGACTTTCACACAAAAATAAACCCTGGAAGAAAGCTTTGGGGAGTGAGGGATGGAGGATGGGAGATACAGGATGAGGGAATCCAGGGAGGTGGATATGGAAGATGGGAGAAAAGAGCAGATGGAAAATCAGGCCAAGGCTAACAGACCAGCAGACCTTAGGCGTGGCTCCCTCTCTCCTCCTACCTCTTCCCCTCGCTCTCACAGGGGCTCCCCAGCCCTCCCCATCCTGGCCACGCCCCTCAACCTCCCCCTGGGGTCCAGGTGCTCAGTAGTGACTCCAGCCTTGGGTATCCCAGTACCTTTGTGGGAGCTCAGGCTGTGGGCATGAGGGCACCTGGTTAACTGCAGGGGACTTTGCTGCAGGACTCTGGCCAGGTGCCAGGGGCTAACTGCTCCCCACCCACCAACACCCCTCTCCTGATTTCCTCAGAGTCCTAACATTCCCACACTGGACAAGGTGTCTCCACTTTTCTGGAGCCCGCCAGCCCGAAGGGGGCGAATGCCTGAAACCTGAGTCTCTTGAATTGTTAGCCATGCCCCATCCCTCACATTAGAACAAGTTGCCTTCCTTAGAGGTGTGAGGAGAAGTCTTGAGACCCACTTACAAGAAGAAATGTCTGCCAGGAAGCACAGGTGCCACCTGCACAGTGGGCACCATTTTGGCATCGCCATCCATCTCTACATTAGACATGACCAGGAAGAGGCGCATGGCCCTCCATGGTCCTCTGGCTCAGATTCAACTGTTGCAGGGTATGGAGGGAAGGAGTGAAGCCCAGACAACACCACAAAGGAGGGTCCCCATGCCCTACCCATGCCATTTCATTACAGAATGACTGGGCAGACGTAAGAGCCAAAGTGCTTTGTGGTATGGAATTATTCACTATAAAAAAAATTATTGCAACCAGGTCAGCATATCATTATGATTGTAGGTCAACCAGGGATTCAGTAATGTCTTCTACTTGTATACCATTGACTTCAATGCACCTTCACTCCATTATCCAACAACCCAGGGAAAGAGGGAGCAGTGGCCCTATCCTATAAGTGGGAAACTAAACAAGGGCTCTGGCTCTGGGCTAAGCCAAGGTCATACAGCTCCTGCAGCACTAAGATCTTCAGTGACAGTGTGGGGTCCACCCTCTACAGCTCCGGTGACATGGAAACACCTTCTTGTAATAGAATTTACCATGCTTATCCCAATCATGCCACAACCTCATAAAACTCCACAGGCTAAAGGCACTAAAGGCATTTGTACCAATGATTTCTGGAAAGTTAACAACCTCCTGTCTCCAATCTGCTGGTAACATTAAACCCTGGCCTCTGCTCAGGAAAAATCTGACTAAGAATTGCCAACTGTAAGTAGGCAAAGCGGTCAGCTCAGCTCCTGGGACGTTACCCTCACCTCTTAATTCAGCAAACCAAATTCGCAAGGACATTGAACTTGCTCTCTTCCTAAGGCTGAACTGGAGAGAAGGAATAAATACACACATACACACACCATACACACATACACACACACAATATATAATTCCATTTGTATAAAATTCTAAAAAATGCAAACTAAACTATAGTGACAGAAAGCAGATTAGTGGTTGCCTGGGGATGAAGTGGAGGTGGGGGGTGGGGGATGAAGGGATTACAAAGGGGTATGAGAAATTGTTGAGGTGATGGATATGTTCATTATCTTGATTGTGGTGATGGTTTCTCCACAGATGTCAAACTTGTTCAAATTTTATACTTTACATATGTGCCATCTATCTTACATTAATTATACCTCAATAAAGCTGTAAAAAAAAGAAAAAACCCCACACACAGCCAAATGACACCCTGCCCCATACTGGTATTTCCATCCAGAGCTTATCCGCCTGGTCTATCTAGAAGGAGATGCCTGGCCAGTACTGGCACACTTCCCTGGGACTCGCCCTGTGGCTGGGAGCCCAGGAAGGAGTGTGATCTCTGTTCACATGGCCAGCTATGACCTCTCAATACTGTAAGTCAAAGTCATTACATCTGCTTGAATTCATTCATTTCAAATATTAACTTTTAATTGCCTGCAATGAAGATGACAAACACAGGGCCTATGGGCTCAAGGGCAGACTGAGACTTCTATAGCAACTTTGTTGGGGATGACAATTGACCGGCTTCTTTGGAAGAAGCAAAGACTCTTCTGGTGAGGTAGGTAACGTAATCAGTTAGTTCATCTGCTGAAACCAGCTTCCCAGGCTAACTAGACATCCAACAACAGAT